GTTTTTAAAGATTATCGATCGCGCGCGCGATATAATCTTCTCCTGCGCGCATCTTCTTTTGCAACTTTTATAATTGTTGCGAACTTCGTTTACACGCACCAAGTCACGCGATCAAAGAAGACGGAAAAGAGAGAAATAGAAAGAGAGAGATAGAATACGGATTTGTCTTTTGCGATTTATTCTCGTAGGATAAAACTTGCTGGACGAACTTTCGAATAACTTACGGTCGTCTCCGATAAAATATGCTTTCTGGAGATGAAATATGCGCTGGAAATCCCACTGCTTATCCTCCCCTCAGCAACGAAATGTCCGAAACTTTTTATTTCCTTATGAGCTTTTTATGAATGCTACAACATTGGCCAGATCGGCGAAGTTATTTTCCGGAACAACGACATCGTTGCCCCATGTCTGCAGATCGTATGGAAAAAGAACATACGGAACGGCACAGAAGCGTCTTGCGGAAATCGACGCTTTACGAGCATGTCAGCTAGCTATTTCGTTATCGACGTGAAACCGCGAAAATGCATTTGTGATGCTGTACACGCTACAAACGCCCGCGTGACGTGTTCGCGATCGTCAAAGTACCGCGTTAGGAAAACGGGACTGAGTATACGAAGAGGGTATGAGAAGGCAGATTGCCTTTGACGCGAGCAATAAAGTAACACTGTATGCCTCGCATGGCGCGGTAAACCCCTCCTTTCTACAACTCACGCGTCTGGATCTCGTCATCACTTATATGAGAGGGTAGATGAAACAGAGGCTAACCACGTCTATGTGTGCACACAGTAATATAATGCACCGTACATGCAGGATGCAACTTATCGCGCCTAAAACACTCACGTATGCCTCTCTCGTTCCGTTCTCTTGTTCACTATACATATCGAACGAGTCAGCCCAACCTGACTACTATCTCGAGCAACTTAAGAAGCAATCGCGCGTATGCGGCTATAATTTTAGGAACGCTTTTTGGAAACTGATAATTAGCCGATAATCTCTTTCCGAGAGAACTTTGGTCACGGTCTGGCGACTACTTAATTGTGTGCTCTGCTATTTGTAACTTGTGTTTCCGACCCTTTATATCCCTGTAGCTCACTCGTTCTCCTCGCATCCCCTATCGTCTTGTTCCACCCTAGCTCGCTCTATTCACTATTAACCTTTGTTTCTATTCGCCGACCAAGTTGGTAGAATCTATGGAGTTATCGCTCTACCGTTACTTGAATAAACATTTCCAATTTTGCATTTGTAAACCCGGCTTCTTATGTAAAATATTTCCAACTTTCTATATCTTACGCTGAGCGTTCACCCTTTATTACATACAATGACTTTCCAATCCTTTCCATTGTTGGATATCGAGAAAGTAATGGTTGTCCAATTCCTTGAGCTAAATAACAATTTGTTATTTATTTAACTTTCATTTGCATCAAAATGTAAATCCGTTTCTGTGATTAGTTTCAAAGTAAATCATCCGTATTAACGTACGCACTTAGTAAATAATAAATTAAATTTTAGTCAAATTTAATACATTTTCTTAAATTGTTTAACTCCATTGTTTCAGTTAAATTAACGACATATCGAGTAGAAGCAGTGGCGATTTATAGAAATATGCAACACATAGAAGAGACAATAAGTCAGTTATGATATTAACACATAAAATTGTTTATATCTAGAAACGGTTGAGCTTTCGATTTATGTTTACTAAGGTTTTTTTATTCAGTATAATATAAATATCATATAAATATTGTAGTCTTTTTTTTAACCTGTATAAAAAATAGCATGACACTTGGAAAAAAGTATCACGTTGATAATTTATCGCAATTCTAGCGACATTTCTCGTTAGTTACTAGCAAAGATTTGTATTCTAATTATTTTTAAACAGAGTTTCGATTGCATTTTTTTAAATTTTGGTTTTAGCATAAAAAATATAGAACTCTTTTTTTATTTTTATACTATTTTTATAACTATCATTATTTATTTCATATAAATAGAGCATTGTGCTAACTTCACGGATTTTTAAAAAGAGTTTCGCATTTTTTATATTAAAAAACTAAAGTTGAAGATATATGGCTTATTGACTTTGCGAATCTAGCATGATACTTCTCCTCTAAAGTACAAGAAAAAAATAAATATTTCCACTTTTAGCTACAGATTCCGTTAGTATAACTCGAGTTCTATCAATATATATAATTTTAAAACAAAATCCAACAATTACCAATTTTAATACATTTTATAGGATATTAAAAAACCTATTAAAAAACATATTCAATATAATATACACCATACTAAGTAAAAATAACAATATAGCTATATCATCGTAATTATCTTTGTGTGATAAGTATATATATATAGTTGATATGACTTATTTACTTTGATGTATCAATGTTACCATGTGTGATTTGGATGAAAACTTGGTTGAGGACTCATTTACTAAGCAGCGATTTCAGAAAGCAAAAACGATTTACCACGTATATAATTAAAAATATGTACGTGTGAAGTGCTCATTAGTCTGAACACACATATACACATATTTAGTGTGTGTAGTGAGCCATATTTGCTTTCTAGACTCACAGATGCTAAAGAAGACTTACTATACACAAGTGCAAACATGTACGTCTAACAGTAGCATATGAAAAGTTCGTCATATTGGCATATGAAAAGTTCGTTATATTCTCGTTACAAGAATGCGCTAAAACGCATGAAATTATATACATATATATATATATATCGCATTAATAAAAGAAAAAAATTCTATTAAAAGAAGTTTAACGTATGTTTGACATACATAAAAGTAGAGTAAAAATGACACTTATCTTTATATAATTTTTTAAATGTCGGAAGAAAATATTAGTTTTTTAAAATTGGTAAGTAATATATACGCTTTTGATGCAAACCATTTTACACGGTAATTTAACATTAATTATATCAGCAATGTACAATTAAAAGAAAAGAATGCTCTGCCATAGAGATACTGATAGAGTTATTAGATTTTTGACAATCAACCTCGTGTCATAACCGGCTCTGGTCTCCCCTTCTAAGGATTAAGAATACTATTGTAACTGTGACTTTAGTTTATTTAATTTTCTGAGTCTGCGAAACGTTTCAGCACGGATCGCGCAAGCCGCAGCAAGAGAAGCGCTTATCTTACGGCGTGGATTTTCCCCTTGTTCTTTTTTGCTCTGTAGAGCACGTAGAGGCCTGTGGAACAGGGTAGTTACTCTGCCCTTATATAAATGCTAATATAAATGCTGTATATCGCCTCCCTCTTGGACGATGTATCTTTGATAAAATTACAGTCCCTCTATGTCCTCTCTGTTCGCAGGAACTCATATAGAAAAATTTCTACGGAAGATTTTGCGTGCGAGGAATTTGTTATTCCGTTCCTGCGATGATAAGTCGATGATACACCGAGAATCAAATTTTCATGCAACCTTCTGGTACGTGCTTTGAAAAAATTTTGGCATTGCTTCCTTGCGTTTCAAGCTCGATATACCTCCATGTCGTCGCTACAACGCCGACGTTGATTCCGAAATGACGCTGAAAAATATGTTGACTTGTCCCTCTCAGCTGGAATTTGCCTCCCTCGCGTTTACCCCTGTCTTTTACTCTGTTCGCTTCTGCTCGCGACACCTCTCTCTTCCGTCGGATCTCGCTCTATTCGGATTTCGCTTCCGAGCCACTCGCGCGCGCGGAATCTTGCCGGCGCGCCCATATAAATGCTAATGTTATACATTGACGTGGTATATGACCCGACTGGAAGAAGTTCTACAAATTTTGAGTCGGATGTAATCCATCTCACGGTATTGCGCGCGGCAGTACGATCTGTGAAGATTGATTGGCTCCAACCTTCTGGGATGATTTCATCTGGGCTTTAATTAATGGGTAGGACAGAAGAATGCGATTTCTCTCGGGAACTCTGATTTAGCTTAAATAAGGATATTTAAACGAGAGAAAAATGAGAAATCAAGGTATGTTAACACAATTTCGCTGGAATTATCAAGAGAAGGAAAAAAGGATGGTTTAAAAAAATGCTTCGCTAATGTTACCGTTAAAATTAAAAACTTGAAAATGGACGCCTTGTATTTTTTATATAACTGTAGGACAGCGACGTGGTCGATTTGAAAAATCCTGAAAAATGAATCGGACGAATCTCGAGGTCACACTCTTCAAGTATATCGACAACGCTGCCAACGTCCCCGGCAAATGCAATTTCAAAGTGAAATAGAAAAACTTTTTTTCGAATTATACGGGACAATTGGTGCACAGTCGAGCAATTAAAGGCATTTGAATTTATTGCGTAAATTAAATCAGATTCAGTTCCTGAACCATTAATATACAGTGGCTCGATTTTTGTATTTCTTGCCTTTTTTATCGCGGTCGGTCGAACTTTTTCCGGGAGTTTTGGCGTGAAAGCTATCGTTAAGCACGATCCGCGGATGTATACGCGCTGCCGCACGATCGGTCGATTTGATGCCAACCGCGTGTTGGATTTCGCACCAAATGCGCTGGCTTAGGCGGTACGCATGCATCCATTACCAGCCTCCATGATCCCCATCGATGGTCCAGACTTGAAAAATGACCGGCGATAAAATTTCCCGAGCGCGAAGCGATAGCGCAAAAGAGAGGGAAAAAGGGAAAAAGAAGCAGGAAGAAAGAAACGTGCATCACAAGTAGTTGCACTGACGGTTCAGTTAAAAATCTCGCTCGAAAAATTTCTCCCTGAAAGTTTTCCTCCTACCAACTTTCCTCGATGTGTTTGGTATGCTAGATAGACGAGACGTATCGATCTCCCTATTTTTGATTCGGTTGAAAAGATTCGTCGAGGTCGAGCTCCGAATTCTCACGCCTCACGTAGCTGCGTTTTCTTTATTCTATGACATCATTTGGCTTCCGCGGAGAAACTCATTTTCTTGCCCAAAATAATAGTACTTAAAACTACAGGTATATATCAAAGCGATAACGTTTCCGCAGCATAATACAACTTGGCGTTGCGCATTGCTACTTACTTGGAATATCCCAAACGCTGTGCCGAGGTGTTCATTTGTCCGCACGACCGTCGTCACGATCATTACTCTGTCTCTCTCTCTCTAGTTCCTCTCTCTCTCTCTCTCTCTCTCTCTCTCGCTCCCCCTCCCTCCCCCTTCCACTTCTCTCGAGCAATTTCTTTCCCCGTCTTCCTATCGTCAGTTTTCTTCTTCGCTTTTTTTCTAGGCACTCTCTTTTCCGCAATCTCGAGTCCGCTTTTTGCCACAAATACCGTGTATTACCCGCGTTTAGCTATCGAGAGCAAAGAACCGCGTCGCACAGTAGTGACCTGCGCTATACATTGTAGATGCACACGCATTGTACAAGTGCACGCGTGCGACACGCGCGCGCGCATCTATGCTCGGCTCGCCGCAAATCTCCCGCGGATCTCATCCACGTCGAAATGGTATGGCTCTCCTCTCCCGCGCAGCGAGAATAAGCGTGTCGCAGGTTCGACCCACTTTGGAAGGCGCAATTCCTCGCGGTTCGACCTCTGCCTACTCGGTCGATCGATAATTCCGATCTCGTTGATCGGTAGCTCACCGATATCGTTAGCATATTCTGCTACAACATCGTGTCAAAGATGTCACACGTGCCGGACCGTCGCGACGGATCTTCTCTGGTACCATTGCTGCTTCCGGATGTCATATTCGATCTTGAAGTCGAATCTTCAGTCAGCTAATGACGACGTAGCGCACGTAGACTTTGAGGCCGATCATGACAATCCGTCCCCCGCACTTCTAAACTGCGCTGTTGCGTGCCGCGCTCATGTCACGCTCGCGCTACTGATCGGATCACCCCGAACGTAGAGATGACCTCGTACGTGATCGAGGATGCTGCTCGGCGCACGAGAGGACCATGTGCCGTGCGCGCTGGCGATGCGGATGCTGTGTGTGTGTGTGCGTGCGTTCCAAAACACGTAAAAGAGCGCACGTTCGTGGGAACAAGCGCGTTTACGTGTGCGTTCTCGGAGGCACGTAAGCACCGCGTCGACGCGTCCCATGCGCCGTTGGTGCGAGGGTTGTAGGCCGCCCGCGGTCCAGGCCGCCACGCAGTATACTGAGCAGTGGTGCCGAGAGCCCGGGAGAACCCGCGGGAGCCTGTTCGTGGGTGAACGAAGCTCTCCGAAAATCTGCGAAGATCCTCGATTCGATACACTCGGGGTCGCGCCACCAGCGCGCCGAAGGACACGGATGGACCACCGGGACTACCTGTCGGACCAACAGCATCACCACCACGGAGAGAAGAGCGGAGAATCTCTCGTTTCTCTTGAATCGACTCGTTCGGCTCTTTACGTCGATAAGATTGGCGCAATCGTTCTTTTCTTTTTTTTTTCTTTTTTCTTCTCTCCCTCATTTCTTTCCTTCTTCTTATTCTTCTCCTTTATCTTTGCCGAGCGCAATAAGCTTACGTGTTCTAAAAAGGCAGAAAGTCAAAGGCGGATCATTTTGATACTGTTGGATATATATGAGCGACATATATATATATATGTATATATATGTGCGCGAAAACGTATCAAATTGACGATCCCTCTAAATTTGAAATCACGAGGATTACGCTGTCCGATATCGTCGTAACACCACGGTCACGGGGCGTTAAACTCACATTGGAACAGCGGTGCATCGATTTTGGATTATGGATGTTGCACGGTGAATACTCCGCAATAGGCGACATGCCGCGGAAAAATTCTCGCAGAAAGGAGAGCATCGTCCGTAAATAAAATATTTTATAATCCGCGCGCGCTTATCAACTGCGCAAGCAATTCGCGGAATGCCCATGTCGGACAAACGTTATTGTATTTATTCTGCGATCAGGAAGGATAATCCTTATATATATATGGAATATTATCCGTACCGTTGCATCCCAGATTATTCTACGTCTTTTCGATATTCCGTGTCCGGTATTACGTCTAGAATCAATACCGATCAATGTCTCATACGAATATGTTTGACGTGTCTTATACAATTCTGATTTATACGGAAAAAACGATCTTGTGCTATGAAGTATGTATATAAAAATGTAGTTAGATACAAATTTGAAATTTTATTAAATTATTAAAATAATTATGTAGAACTCTCTTAATCTTTAAAGGATAAGGACCATTTTTTAAATCTTATAGCTTTTCTGTGAGTAAGATAAGTTATAATTTATTTTATTTTATTGTAATTCTCTAATTGCTCTAAGCTATGGCACTTTTTGAGCGTCACTATAGTGATTTTCTTGTAGAGGTTAAACGTGGAAGCAATGTTGTAAAAATTTTAACATTCTACCAACCAATTTTAGCGTCTTCCATAATTATTTCGATGGTTTAAACAAAATTATTTTCAGATTTATATCTAGCTAAATCTTTATGTACTTTAGAAAATTGTTTTCCGTGTATTACTCGTGCAACTGCATTAACATATTTTATACATATTTTTTTCTTACTTCGCACAAAAAACTGTTTGGATATTTTTCTGTTTGATTTTCTGTTATTTTTTAATGTTACAAAGAGCATACCTTCGGATGAGTTATGGGATAGTTATGGGTCGAATTATGGGATTAAATTCGATAGATATGATTATATTCATAACCTGCGATCCCTTTATTTTTACGATTTCGATTTCGTGTTGCTATCGTGAACCAGATCTTTTCGTCAATCGACCACGGCGTGACTTCCAACAATTTTAGAAGCAATCGAGAGGAGCGTCGTTGTTACGGAATACAATCTAGAAATATAGATTCGGAATACTGACTCGCATACCAGTCCTTCGGGGTGAGAAACATTATCCAGAACGAGGTGAATTGATCAGAAAATTATTACCTGATAAATGTTAAGAATTATTCTGCGCTTATTCAATTGGAAATTTAATGGAAATGTATTGATTCGTTCTAATGTACCAAAGAGCCTTCGATTCTTTTGTTTTATCAATATTAGCATTAATGCAGGTAGAACTCGTAATTGATTTTGTAATATTTTTCCCTACTGTCTATTAATACGGAATATAGATTTTCCGTATTAATACTGCATAATTTAAGAATTTAATCGTATGAATCGAGAGAGTATTGAATAATGTAATTGTGCACTATTACATTTAATAGTACAAATTGTTGGAATAAAGTAGATGTGAAAAGATTCAATAAAATTCAGAGTAATAAAATTCTTTTCTCTTATCCCCTGACAGTTTGTACTCAATAAGGGCGAATTCTTGGCGAGATCGATGTAAATCTTCCCTGGAATTCGTTGCGCGCGAAGGTGTCTGAGATTTATACGAGAGGTTGACGGGAATTAAATATTGCCCGTTTTGATTATATTCTCATAGGACAGTCTTTGTGACATAGTCTTTTTTTAGTCGTTTCCGAGTTCCGCGCAAGAACGGAGTGGTCGATTCCAACTATTTTGGTTACGCGATGAACCTGTCCCGACAGTTCTTTTACTTCGCATAATGAACCCTTATTCTAGAGATGGAAATTGTTAAAGATGCTCTATCTCTTTTATTTTCTACCGGTGGTACGCGTACTTGTCATCCACGAGCGTTTTCTTAGCATAATTGCTGATGAGATAGAATTTTTAATAATAAGGAGGAAGAACTTTATAAAAAGGAATTTGCTGTTCTTTAGATACAATGCATTTTAAGTAGATAAAATGTCAGGTAATACAGAGAGAGAGAGAGAGAGAGAGAGAGAGAGAGAGAGAAGAATATATAAATTTTGAGAATTTAGATGTCAAAAAGTTGGTTGGAGTAACATTTTTATATCACATATATTTGGCGATGCTGAGGCAGAGTAGACGCAGTATTGATCGAGGGATCCAAATTTCTTGGTACGCGCAATGCCACCCTCGCGCATCTCTGACCGCGTTTATACGCGGAAGGGTCGGTCTTGTGGAAAGGGAGAGTGAAAGAAGGAATGAAAAAGTAGCCTCGTCGTGTTTATCGCACGAGATGGGTGATGCGGTTATTTTACGAATCGAACAGTTTTGAATCACCGATGCGAGCCGAATTAGTCCGAGCACCCTCGAGCGTGCCTTGCGATCGATTCGAAATAAACCAGAGGTTTCGCACTGTTGACCTTCCGCCAACCTTCTCCCCTCTTCCCCATCTCTCTCTTTCTCTCTCTCTCTCTCTCTCTCTCTCTCTCTCTTCCCCCTCTCTCTCCCCTCCCCTCTCTCTCTCGTTTGAAAGATCCGTAGCTTCCTCCCATGAGATTGGCGCATCGTCCCATATTTAATCAAGAACATCGCACCAAGCTGATATAAAGTCCAAGCTCGCGTTTAATTCGGAAGCTGACATTACGCGTGAACTGCTATGGGATTTCTGAAATTAGCCATGTGAGAGCTAGGATAGAGATACAAATTCGAGCAGGAGATTATGCATAAGGAGAGTTTTGCAAACTTGTCTACACACTTGCCAGTTTCTCTCTTTCATAATTAGAAGAATTAATTATTTCCACTGTAAGTTTTTAAGCAAGTTTTCATTAATTTCTACGAAATCTTAAAACAGTCTTTATTCTGATTAAAAAATGATTAAGGGTTTACTCTTTTTATTAGGATTCCTCTGTCCACTTCTTCACGTCCAGGTTTCACATCCAACAGACTTTTGATGACTTCCTGATTGTTGAAAGAGAGTTCATGTGGAGATCCTCGACTTACCTTTTAGAGAAGAACTGGTAGAGAGATCAACGCAGGACTATTGTTGTTTTTTTTTCTTTTTCCTCCTTTGTACAACCTCTTTTGTCGGGAGAGTAGATGTACTCTTTGACCTCTTCGGAGGTTACGAGTCGTCTCGTTTGTTCAAGGGCTGCTTCTTATCCTCGCCTCACCGCATCGGGGCAAACTTTCCCTCGGGACGTCGAAACCGCTGTATGAATCGTGTCGACTGTAATTACGGCGCTGAAAGTATTAGTTGGATTCTTTCGACGAAGTTTCTCGAGCAACAAACAGACATGTTGCTCTCTCCCACGGGACTATAAGCGCAAACGTTTGCTTCCATCTCACGATTTACCAGATATATGTTGCAGAAACAACGGCGTATTGCGCTACTTTATAACGTCCGTTACATGATACTTCTCCTCTCCGCAACAAAAACTTCCGGACTAGACGAGAGAGTGGTGATCATTCTTACTTGACATTCTTAAGGCGTGCAATAAAATAGCTTGATGGATGGTTGCAATAAAAATGGAAATTTTAAGAAAACTGAGATGATAACGTTAATAGAGAAGATAACAATAAAATAATTCTTAATTTACACATAAATATAAATTTATCAATTATTTGTGATAGATTTGTCAACTTCTTATCAATTTATTTTAATAGTAAATTGATAGTGTAATTGTTGCAGATCAATGATATTATCGTGATATGGTTGGATTAACCAAATGATCAGTTATCTTTTGTCGATATCTTTTTCCTCAATATGTAACAGATTTCTTGTAATAAATAGAGTATTTTAAGCTGCGTTAGAATTTTTCGATTGCCTAGCTTTATTTGCAATAAAGACTGTTTGTGTATTAGATGAGTGTAATTAAAATAAAGTTCGAATTCCTGCCAACTGCAGCGGGGTAAGCTATTTCTGCAGAGCGCCGTTAACGTGGAGCTCTACACGATGGTAAGAAGTAGAGCTATACCGGATGCTGGTAGTCCCAGACCTTAAATAGAATCATATAAACGCCAACGATTATAGGCCCATCTAAGCAATGGTTGCAGAATTATAATTGACAATTTGCTAGATGGCGTTCCTAATCTTTCAACGGTTCTTTGGCTGTGCAAAGTGAGATATGAAAGTATGTCTCATCGTGACCGGTTTGTCAAACGGAATTCCATATCGAGATAGGAACGTAACGCGGCACTTCAAAGGATTATGTACATACGTGCATAATCTATCGTATTCACCTTTTCGTCGAAAGTTTAAAGCAACTTTTTGTTAAACAAAAAATAATTTTCGATGAGTTGAACAAAAGTAATCGCAACCGTGTTGGGTATTAAGAAATTTCTTTTAACATTTGTTCAAACAGCTACGTGATGTAAATCCGGTATACATACATATAAGTGAGAATTTCTGATCACGGTGG